ATTGGTTCTCCTCATTATTTATTTATTTCCACAAATTACTTTCTCAATATAACTTTGAAGTATATATTCTCTTGTTCAATTTTATTTGTCACATTTATCTATTAAGAAAATAATGATTAACATGACTATTTTTTTCACAGAATACTCCTATTAATTAATATTTAATATTAGGTGTTGAAAATAATTAAAAAAAATAAGTAATTGATATTAGAAATAAAATATAAGAAAATTATTGTCCTCACTTTGCATTTTAATAATAACAAGTTAAAATAAAATCTATCTTTTAATAATGAATAAATAAAATTAACACACAATAATATTTAACTTGTGCCCACTACATAGAAATAGTGTGCTCTATTCACCACACAAATTTAAAAATACTCTATAAAGACTAATGGGACCATCCTATCTTCAGCTTCCATGAAATTATAGGGGCATACTTCGTAATTAAATGATAAAAGATTGGGCTTTTTTTAGAGCTCTTGATGGAGTCCAATTAATAAAGCATAAAATATAACTCAGCAAAGCAACTTTATTTAATAAAACTTTGAAAAGACTTTAACACCCTCAAACTTTTATTTAATACCTAAAAACTGACATGTTGAAAAACTTGAACCTCTCTCTTCTAATATATATATAAAAATATAAATATATATATATATATAAATACACATACACATACACATATAGTATGGCTTCTGTGGGTGCATTTATGATTTTGTTTAATTTAAAAAATAATTAAATTATCTAATTTTGAAAATAATTTTTTAAAAAGTATAACTAAAAAAACAGAAATGTGATCTAACTATTTAAAAAAAATGAAAATGACAAGTGAAGTTTTTTTCGTAAAAATGTAACAAAAAATAAATAAGAAAAAGGTAGGAATATTTTTAATTCAATTCTTAAGGATAATTCAATTCTTACTCATAAAATCTCCGATCATAAAGAAAGTCACAATATCTAAAGATCTCATATTATTAGTATAATATTTTTAATTTGTTAGGTGCTTTTTTCTTTATTATCATATTATTCAAAATTTTTGGTTAAAAGTATGCATTATTTTTATTTTTTGTAGTGCTTGAATTTTGAAATGTTAAAAGACAATGATAGCAATGACAATAAATTAAATTTAAAAATGTCATAACAGAAAATTAAATAAAAAGGTAAAACAATTAATTAACAAAAGAAGAAGAAGAAGAAAACATTCATAATAAAAGAATAGTCAAGCTTAATTTGTGTTGTAATTCTTACTTCTTTAGCAATTTAACATGCTCAGTGATAACTTGCAATGTGTTATTTTTAGATTTTCATTTTGATCAACTTTATTTTATCATTTCAAAATTTTCATTCTATCATATAAAATCTCTTCACATGTGCTTTCAAGTTTCGAATTAAAATTGATTTGAAATGAATTACCATGTATGTTTTCACATTATATTCATAATAGCATGTTGGTGGCGTTTAAAGTGTCTAAACTTTTTCTAATTAATATTATAAAAAATATATTAATTATTTATATAAAATTATTTTAAAAATTTAAAAACTATATCCTAATATTATATACATGCACTTTTGTTACTCAATAATAATAATTGTTATTAATTATTTTTAAGTTTAAAAATTATTATATTTTAAAATATCCGCGCAACGCGCGGATATGTATACTAGTAAGAACAATAATAACAACAATCATGAAAAAGTTAAAAAGGCAGCACCACTGAAATAAATCTATCACCAGAACAATGATGAGATAAATTTTGGCGGGTGCAATTATTTTAGTTGTACTATGGGTCCATATTTCTTAAAACACAATATATTAAATGCAACGTTGTAACTTTTTTGCACATGAAAATTAATGAAGACAAAGTTTAACAATAAAAAAATGAAAGAAAAAAGAATTAAAAATATTGAGTCCGAAAAAACATACCGGATTATAAAATTTCTTGATTCATTCCAACGGAAAATTTCCTGATTCACTGCGACAAAGTTCTGCCCAATGGATTGAGGATGGCAAGAGTTATGATGAAAACTAATGTTTAGAACCCCAACAATGACAATTAGGGGCTACTTGGGGTATGGAGAGGGACTTGGGAAGACAAGAAAGAAGTCCAGAATAACAATTCTACTTTTTGGATAAAATGTCATTGTGGCAGAGAATATAATTTTGAGTTCTCATTTTGCCTATTAATACAATGTTAGGTTTATTCTTTGATACAAGATAGTTCTATACATACAAATTGTATACCACTTTGATCACTATTAGTAGATAAAATGATTTCTTTCACTTATGAATCCCAAATAATTCAAGAAATATTTAACGGCAATTCATTATTTTTAACTTCTCTAATTTCAAAAAACGAAGATGAAAACAAGTCATAGTGATTTTCATAGTTATAAACTATTTCATTAAGAGTTAATGAGAATATTATTACGGCTAGATTTGGGATAGATTGTATTGTCGGGTGTTTTTG